CCTCAGTAAGCACCCGAAAAGCCTCATTTGCTTTTCCTGATAGCTTTCCAGCCAAAATAGTGACCCATTGATCTGGTGGTATCTGGTGTAGTGAGCACTGCCTCCCAAAGTCAGCCAAATACCCGTCAATCTCTTCCTCACTTTCCACAAACGCTTTGAACGCAGTGAACGGTATTTTCTGCCCTGTAGCAGCGGGTGGGGGAGTATGAACTGTATGTGTAATGGGTTGTCTAGCTCTTGCCAGTTCAAGTTCGTGTCCCCTCCTATTTTGTATCTCCGTTCTCGCTTCCCAGAACAGTTGATCTACTAGTTCCACAGATGTTGCTGGGTACATGGATAATTTCCGCTGAACCAGATTTGTAATTTCCTCCTCCTCGCTGACAGGGGTAGGTTGGTCCACGACCTCCATGGATCGATCCATCTCGTCCAGCTCCAGTAGGTCAGCTATCAGTTCTCTCCGTGGTCATTGCTGGCACTCCTTCCTCTGGTTTCCAATAGATCCTTTAGTGTGGGTCTTTTCAGTTTAGCGTACTGGGATTCCATTCAGCACTTGCTTTGGGGATGAAAAGGACCATCCCACCGCTGCCACCAATGTAACGGCTACCCAGCTGGAGAGGAGTATCTGCCGTTGGAGACGTCCTTTTCTAGGCAAGCTGCTGTGAAGTAATGGAATTCTTATTCCCATCCACGGTATCCAATTGCATGATCCAGGAGTGCTGTAAAATGAGGCAGAGTAACGGTACCATAAATCCCCTCCAAGAATGAGACGAGGCTACGTTTTGAAGGGTCAAGAAGAACTGATGTTTATTGACAGGGGGTCTCCTTTTATGCAATGGTGCCCTCTGAATAGCTCTCACTCAGGCGAACAATATATCCAAATTTCAGCCCATTCGGTTGAGGGGTTCGGGAGTTATGGATCTTTGAAGTTTTGACCGAACGCACAGGTTTTCTAGCCGAAAAGAGTTCCATAAGTTTTGGCCTTGCAGTCGGTCTCCGTTCGTGCATTAAAACCCCATGAACCCCTTGCCATCCACAGTCATCCTGGTGTTTGCTGG